ATTATGCAAGAGCAAATCAACGCAAAGTAAAAGACTAAGATGGGTTGCCGAAACAGATATGACCTGCGAATATGGGAGCCTCCTCCGGACTTATTTTGGCGTGATTCGCACCCCACGCTTCACTAATGAGGCGTTTAGTGAAATTCAAATAAAAACAACAACAGAAGAAACAATCAATCAGGAAAACACACCCGTGAGTCACCATCGCGACATGCTTCAAGGCAATCATGGACACGTCTACTGCTCAGTCACCTTCGTTGTGAGGTTCTTGAAGGAGGCAACAGGAACGTTGGAGATGATGGTGTAGAAGTGCTTGCGCTTGCCACCCTCAGGGGTCTCAGACTTGCGCTCCACGTGCACGCGAACACGGCCGGGAACACCCTTCACGCCCTTGTGCCAGATGTACGTGTTCAGAGAGGCGTCGATGCGGTTGTCCTTCGTCTTCATCAGCTTGCCAACGAAGGCCTTAATGCGCTTGATGGCGATGGGCGCGCGCTTGTGGAAGGTCTTCTTCTTGAGCAGCTTCGCCAGGTGGATGGTTGCCTCCACGGTGACGTTGTCGGGCTTGCGGCCGGTCTGCTTGCGCAGCGCGGCACGAGTGGAGCCACGCACGCGCGAGTGCTCGGCGGTATTGCCAACGCCGTGGTACTTCTTGCGCTTCTCCGAGTCCATCTTCGCCAGCACGCGCTTCCAGCGGCGGTCGTCACGCGCCTTGCGCGAGGCAACAGCCTTCTTGCGGGCCTCCAGCAGCGCCTGCTTGCGCTCCTTCCCGAGCACCTTACCCTTGAAGCCGGCACGTGTCATTTCACTCCACAACAGACACTATTGTGACAAAAAAGTCAGAAAACCCAAACGTTACCGGAAGGAAAATAATCAAAAAAAGAGAAAAGGGGAAAAAAAAGCATTATGCAAGAGCAAATCAACGCAAAGTAAAAGACTGAGATGGGTTGCCGAAACAGATATGACCTGCGAATATGGGAGCCTCTCCGGACTTATTTTCGCGTGATTCGCACCCCACGCTTCACTAATGAGGCGTTTAAGTGAAATTCAAATAAAAAACAACAACAGAAGAAACAATCAATCAGGAAAACACACC